ATTGCTCATATTCATTAGATTGCGACAAATAAGTTTAGTTGCAAGTTGCTTTTAGAACTAATGAAAATTTTCATTTAAAATATTGAATTAAATTAAAAAAATAATAAATTTTTTTTTTAACAGGGGCAGAACGATGCCCCCGTTACCTGTTCCCACCCCAAACCCGCCATGGGGCAAAATTTCCCTCCCCGTCCTTGCCTCGAATGCCCGATTAAGTGGGACTTTGCGAGTATCAAGTTTGTCGATTTTTTTTGCCATCTCTAGCTAAATGAGAGAGTAGATTGGATATTTTGTGCTTTAATTTACATGTGGCATGATTGTATTTCATGACTTTCAGTACAGTTCACCAATGTGCAGTGCGAACAGTACATGGGCCTGCTAAGAAAGCCCAATTTTAGGTCATGAACAAATATAGCCCTCAAGCTTAAATCTAAACAATTTTTCAATTTTCCCTGTTCGGTGTCTTTGATTACGAAGCATGACCGGAAATGGACACTCCCTGAGGACAAAAATGCGAATAATCTCGAAAATGTCAAGTTAAAGTATGTTTTTTCCTTCTCTTCCAACTTCCTAATTCCCAAAATCGAATTGGTCAGTCCAACAATCAAAATCAAAGACGTTTCTTTTTTCCTGTTTATGACTTTATTATTTTCATAAACAAATCCACCAATTTTTAGATTATAATCAAAGCAATATATATCTCGATTAAGCCTGGAAATAAATGCATCGATTTTGAATAACATAATATAATTTTTTAAAACAATTCTTGAAAAAGACCCACCAAAATTGTTCGCCCCCAAACATCTCTTTAGGTAATCTTTGACTTAGTGCACTTATATTCCGTTCAATTTAAATAATTTACAAGTATAGATTTAGTTGCTTGACAAAAAAGAGTAAATTTTCAGATTTACGATGCAAAGTGCAAACTAAAACTCATTGATTTGTTGTATAATTATCACCAAAATTTAATTAAATCAAATAAAAACCAGAAAATATGGATAAATTCCTCCCTATAAATAGTGCAAGGCATGTCCCCATTTCTCTCTGCGCCTAGCAGCCCTAGTCCTATAGTCCAATTTTTTATTTTCTGCGGAGTTCTTTTGTTTCCCCAATATTTACAGTCTAATGTTTCTCAATTCAACACTACATTTGATCTATCCAGGGTTAGGAGGCGTGGATCCATTCTGAAAATTCACAAATACATATACCTGTTATTAAAACTAATAGATGATCTGATTGGAGAAATTTCCTTTTTTTTAGTCGGTATTTAAAAAAAAAAAAATTAAAAAATGGTTTCGATATCAAAATCTGACTTTTTGTTAGGCAGTGCCAATTGTCATTTTCTGGGTTTAAATTATTCATCCTGATTTGGGGCCATTTTTGTTAGTTCTTTTACAATTAGAAGTCTCATTTTTCTTGGATTATATTTTGGGCATTTGAAGAATGGATAAGAAGAAGGTTGTAGTTCCCTTGGTTTGCCATGGACATTCTCGTCCGGTTGTTGATTTGTTCTACAGCTCGATCACTCCCGATGGGTTTTTCCTTGTCAGTGCTAGCAAAGGTGAATTTATATTCTCCGCTGAAATGTGTTCCATTTGCGAGATTTTAATTTTCTTTTTAACGATGCTGATGATTAATTGTTTGAATAAGGTTGTGAACAAATTTGATTGTTTCTTGATAGCAGTGCGTCTTACAGAGTTATAGATGTAGAAAATATAGTACTTTACAAGTTGAGTTTGATGGGTTTAGGCGTTTTTGTATATTTATGATCAATGGCAATGATTTCACCTTTATGGCCACAAAACAGAGGGCTGGGATTATGTATTTTTGATAGTTCAGAATTTATGACTAAGCAGAAGTACAAGCAGCCACGAATGCAAACTTATTGTCAAAATGGTGACTATAACTACTCTTGAACGTTGGAAACATGATACATTGATAATCTCTGCACAGGGCTCTCCTTACCCCTGCAGAATGAAAAGGGCTAGTTTGGGACAAATTTTAATAATGTAGAGAGTGCTTTAGCTGGTTGTATACCATTTGCTTAAGTTTAGCTATGCTTTACGCAGATAGAATGATTCATTAGGATTTGGTAGTTGTGATGATCTATGTCATTCATACATACCGCTACAAGTATTTATGGCTTGAAAATGAACAGCTTTTCCATTTAGCAGCTGTCTTTCGAGTTAAGTGCTGCCATTTATGAAGCGGATTTTTCCTATTGTGTTGCTGATGTCACAATGCAAGGCCATTAACTAGTTTCCGTTTGTACCTAGTATTTTATTTTATTTTTGTGTAATTCATACAGTTAAGATACCATAAATATGCTCTCGTGAACAATTATGGTGGATTATTTATAAGGTTTCCATGAGCTCAACTTCAATTTATTATGGATTATGCTTTGAACTATTCTTTATGGTATCTTCTTTGCTTACTCAGATTCCACACCGATGTTGAGAAATGGAGAAACCGGAGATTGGATTGGAACCTTTCAAGGGCATAAAGGTGCAGTTTGGAGTTGTTGTCTAGATAAACATGCTCTACGTGCTGCCTCTGCATCTGCGGATTTTTCTGCGTATGTGGTCAAGTTCTTACATTTATTGAATTGAAAGTATTCCATGAATGAACATTAGACCTCTGATGTGGACTCAACATATCATTGAATTACTTATTTGATTGTGGTATCTGATTGGCAATCCATGAAGCACGACACTTCTAACAGAGTGCCGTAACCGACACATGTCGTGTCAGACTGAGACACTCCTCAGACCCTTTAGCACGTGCTTGACATGCCACGTGGTGTGTCCTATTTCTATATAATTTTTTATATTTTTGACACTCAAGGATGCTTTAGGAACATTCTTTGTGCATTATCCAAACTGCCATTTGGCACTTGGCCTGCATGGTTCATTATGTTTTAACAACTGAGGAACATGTTCTTGACGCACAAAGGACTTACATATCGTAAATTTTGGAAGAATGCTTGCCTAAAAAGGTCAAAATGATGGGATAAAAGTTCTACCAACTTCATGTCAAGTTTGTTTTACTTCTACTATTTGTATCTTTCTGTCTCTAGCAGTATTAATATATAGATATACTATGTAAATTAAAGCATTGAAAAGATATAAAAAATTAAAAAGATAAATAGATACTCTTCTCATTTAAAAGATTTCACCAACAAAAATCAAAGATAAAAAGTGGTGTTCATTTTAATAAAATGAAAGTACAAAAATAAAATATATACTATAAAAATGTACAATTTAAAGGATATAAAATCGATGTTTCTTTGTCCTACTTTTAGAATAATCATGTGCCGGTGTGTCCATGCCTGTGCGTCTTAGCCGTCAACAAACTGCTAATGGAGGCTTGGTCCTGAGATCTGTAAATTTGTAGGTTTGGGGGCATCCTGTCTATCTTTGCAGTATGTATTAATGCTACTTGGGGTCTATGTTATTGTTTTCAGGAAATTATGGGATGCGTTAACTGGGGGGGAATTGCATTCATTCGAGCACAAGCACATAGTTCGGACATGTGCCTTCTCAGAGGTACTTTTGAACTATAAATAATGGCTTTAAACACATGAATCAATTTACTCTCTGTTTCTTCATTTTCTGTAAGGATTTGGACTGCAAACCTTTTACTTGGCTGGACATCATTTGAATAGCTTTCAATGCATTATTTAGTGCATTTTAGTAGGTTTGTAAGTGACATGTTGCCAGGTCCTTTTCCTTTCAAAATTTCAGTTTCTTAAATAAATCATTGATACGCTAAACCTAATCCACATATGGTTGCTATCAATATAAACAAGCCATTATTGACCTTTGGGCTTCAACATAGGTTGGAAATTTTTGCACAATATGCTTCTTGTATTATTATTATGTTTATCTGACAACTGTTGAAGGATTATGTTATTTGATTAAATTTCAGGATACTCACCTTCTACTAACTGGAGGTGTTGAAAAATGTCTTCGCATATTTGATTTAAATCGACCTGATGCACCCCCTACAGAAGTTGAAAAGTCTCCAGGGTCTGTTAGAACTGTTGCTTGGCTCCACAGTGACCAAACTATCTTAAGTTCCTGCCTTGATATGGGTGGTGTGAGGTATGTGGATCGAAAAATTGTCATTATTTGTTTCTGTAATTCAAGTCACTACCTGTAAATCTATCTCATTCGCACAGGTTTGGCACTTCTGAGAACTTGCACCTCACTGTATATTAATTTTTTTACCCCAACCAAGCTGATGGACTAAAGAATTTTCAGAATTTTTGTTTGAATAAATATATGGAGATATTATTTCTTTCTAATCGAGTACTTCTCTGAGCTGTCGCTTTTACTTGTGTTTCTTTTCTAAACTTCAGTTTTTATTGACATTCAATATATATCAATTCCATTTAATGTTCTATGAACTGATGGCCTAGGTTGTGGGATGTGAGAACTGGCACAATTGTTCGAACCCTTGAGACCAAGTCTTCTGTAACCAGTGCTGAAGTGAGTCAAGATGGACGCTACATAACAACCGCAGATGGGTCAACTGTTAAGATCTGGGATGCAAATCAGTAAGCCTCTACCCCTTCCCCCTCCCCACCCCCACGTTGCCTGTAGAAGTCATTTAGGGTCAACAAATATTTAGCTCCACATTTGGACCAAAACACTTGACGGTTCCAAAGATCAGGATGAATATTACTTTCCTTGCCGAGCATCCTTTTTGGCAGGAAATGCACAAGCATAGCTTATGTTTATGTTGGTTTGCTTCTCTAACGAAGCGTTAACACTTTTATCAGCTTTGGATTGGTGAAGAGCTATGATATGCCCTGTGTTGTGGAATCAGCTTCATTGGAACCTAAATATGGTAATAAGTTCATTGCTGGAGGAGAAGACATGTGGATTCACGTGTTTGATTTTCATACAGGGGCAGAAGTTGGTGAGTCCCATTATACTTTTTCATTTTTGATCTTTCTTGCTCACCAACATTCTGTCATACATTTCTATTCTGGGATCTTTTTGACGATCTTTCTTTCTCCCCCTTTTTTCCCTTTCCTTTTAGTCCCCCACTGCCAGTGTATGTGAGATCACTGTAGTTGCAGCATCTATTTTCTATTGCATCCTGACCAAATCAAGCTGTTAAGAAAAAGATTTTGTATGAAGCATATCCTTGCCATTTTTGTTGTCTTGTGTGAGAGAATCCCTGGTCTCTGATTGAATTTCTTGAGATTTTGCATCTAATCTTTAGTTTAATTGACTAGAGAAGTTAATACTAAAGGCACAAATCATTCTCTCAAACTGTTTTATATGCATATCATTAAGTTTCATCACCACCCTCGTTTCTATAATTGTTTCATCACCACCCTCATCTTCTTTTCATGGAATATTCCTAAGCTGTTCTTGCACATGTTCTTTTGTCATAGGATGCAACAAAGGTCACCATGGTCCAGTGCACTGTCTTCGTTTCTCCCCTGGAGGTGAATCTTATGCCTCAGGATCAGAAGACGGGACTATCAGAATATGGCAGACTGACTCTTCGACTTACAAGGAGATAAACTCTTCAGCTGCTAATGGAGAGGTGAAGAATGGAGCTGATAAAATTACTCACCAGATGGAGAAAGTTGATATTGCCAAAGAAGCGAAAAATGATGGCAGTGAAAAGACAGTCGAGGAAAAGGCAACAGTTGCTAACTAAGATCGTGTTTTCCCAGACTGCAGGTTGTAAGAGCAGCCTAATTTTCAGAGATTCAGCTTATCGGAGAATTACACCCGGCTTAAGTACCAAAGGAAGGGGTGTATTGTACTGTTGTGTTTCAGTTTTCTATCACAGTACTAGGCAAATCTTTTAAGCCAAGTTAGCTTCAACAGAATTCAAGTATATTTCTTTCATAGAGAACTGTTAAAGGGTATTTAGGTCTTTTATGTAATACCTAGGGTCTCCTAAGGTTTTCCTAACTCTTATTATAAATAGTGGGACAGGCTAACGTAATTGTTAAGCCTTCTAATTCTTTTACTTTAACAGA